ATGCAAACCCCAATATGACTTCCAATGCTGGGGGTGTGTAATTTGGAGTAGTTGGAGTAGAGGAATGGTGACGGTAAATGAAATCGCCATGGCAATAGCCATTGAGATGAAGAGGTGGATTGTTTGGCGATAGGAAATCAAGGGTTTTGCTGCGTGTATGTGTGTGGTTCCATTCCATTCCACTCTATATTTTTTTTTCTGCCTTGCTGTACTCCATCCGAAGGTTTGCATGTATGTGGGTAAAATACATCATCGTCTTGTGCTTTTCTACTTTTCCACTCCCTACTTTCTGCTTTCTACTGTTTGATTCGCAACTTTACAAGGATATCCAACGAACCAGGCCCCCCCTTTTTTTTTGTAAAAAAAAAAAAAAAAAAAAAAAAAAAAAAAAAAAAAAAGTGCGGTTCTGTGGTCAGACCAACCTCACCATTTTATCATTCTGGCTGCCTTTTTTCCCCCTTTCCCTTCCTTCCCTTCCCTGTACTTTTTCCCTTTTGTTGTTTGAGCTTTTAAAATAACTTGTATTTATTTTATTTTTCCTGTTCCATTTAAAGTCAAAAAAACAAAAGCACATCTTTTTGTACTTGGCATGAACACACAGGGAATATAGTTAAGTGACTAACTGCTACATGATGGATAGATGCTACATACTCTAAGTATATTAGGCTAGTTGTTTTGAATGGAAATAACATTTGCGTCTCGATTTTTAAAAAAATAAAGAAAGAAAATACATTACTACTAACTACTCACTGCCAAAGATGTTCAAGGATTCTTCCCAGTCCCCCCTCCCCGTGGAATGACAATATAGAAACTTGCATCACATTAACTGAAGACAGGGGGGGGGGAAAGAAAGAGGGAAAAAGAAAGAAAGAAAGAAAAGGAGATACAATCAGCCACAAAGCTAAGACGCGACGTGGAATGGATATGAGAAGACCAGCACAGGCAAACATGAAAGTAATAGATATAATATTCACGGGAGAAATTAAAATAAAGCGTCTCTCTGGATGGTCCACTCCCGTCTCCCTTTATGGGAGGAAACTAACATGGACGTGGTCCCTTTAGAGATAAACAAGTTAGCAAAATATGATTCTCAAAAAATAAAATAAAATAACAGCTCACCAGTGATTCGCAGTAAGCCCGCCTCTATCCTCCATCTTCTCCCACTGCGCCCAGCCTCGAACGCTTTCGCCAGCTTCCCAGATCCTCTGACCCCAGATAGCATATTTGACCTTAAGCTCTATAGCATGGAACATGACCCATTCCGCAAGCGGCTGGCCGTTGGGGGAGTGTGCCTGTGCAAGCAAGAAAAGAAAAAGCGAATGTCAGGAGGTTGATATACCAATCAACAGAACGGGTTATGATCGGAAACGCCCCTTAAAGAAAGGAAACTTACCCCAGTCATCAAATCCAACGCCAGCCCAAGTGGATGCTCCGACTTGCTCGAGCGCTTCCCGTAGCAACCCACAAACCTCACCTTCCCCGGATTCGCGCCGACAATCTTATACCCGGCATCAATGACATGGCGCTTGCATCTGTACTCGGGGATCCGAACAGATGGGCCCGCGGGCGGCGGCGGCGGCGGCGGCTTCTTATCCGTGCAGCACATCACGTCGTTGGGGTCATGCGGACACGTCCATGGGTCATTGGCGGTTCCGGCACCGGGTGTCGCGGTGCCTCTGCACGCGGACTTTTTCTTGCATACTCCCGGGACGCCACGGGCGTTACATTTCCGGCCCGCTGGTGGTGGGGGCGGTGCTTTGTCTGTGCAGCACATTACGTCGTTGGGTTCCCGGGGGCATGTCAAGGGTCCTCCGGGGTGCCTGCGCCAGGTGTTGCGATGCCCTTGCAGGCGGACTTCTTTATACAGATGCCGGGGACACCGCGGACATTGCAGGAGCGAGGTGCGCGCTTGACAAGGCTGTTGCTGTACTCATCGTTGTCATCATCAACATCATCCTCACCTGCCATGCTGGCGTGAAGAGAGGTAAGTTGAGCTGTGCAACATTGCCAGCCATATGGTGATTGTTTGCACCAGTCGCCGGCGATGGGTACGCCGTTCCAGGCTTTACATTCGACAGGCGGCATGCAGTGGCCTTCTTCACCTTTAACGCTGCACTGTTCCCACCGCTTTGATTTGGCGGAAAGGGAGGTGCAGGTGGCAGTCAGGGTGAAGAGGGGGATGAGATATCTCATCTTTCCTTTCGTTCGCGTGAACCTCCTATTAATGTATTCTGGTAGTACGACTGAGAAATAGAAAATGAGAAGAAGATACGACGAGATAGGGAGAAGTCCGTCGCTGTCGAGGGATTGATTGCTCTTCCAGATGGATGAGAGTAGAGAAGCTGCGGTTGCAGAAGATCATTTTATATCAATGATACTTACCTTGGTACCCTATAATGACCAGAGCCTCCATGCTATCTGTGGTCTTGAGGCTTATACATCTTCCGCCAAATGCGAAACAGTGAAATACTGTCTTCCCATGTTCTTCGACCATTCTGCCGCTAGAATTGAAATGATATGCCGCGGATCGTTTCAACCACCTTGGCAATCGCAAAGGAATCTGACGAATCAAGTGCCTCCAAAGCTCGAGTAGCCCGCGTACAGAGGTACCATTTACACGTATTTTTATTTTTATTTTTTCTTTTATTCCAAGGGGGCAATTGCTGTTCCAATGAATCCAAAATCAAACCTTGAAACGGGACACCAATTGAAGATCATCAGGTCTTCTAGACATTCAAGCCAATCACATCTAGTTTGAATAGCAAAAACTTTGGGCATGTCTTTTGTTTCAAGACGACTGAAAATACTGTTCCTTGTTTCTTCTGGGAAGAGATCTCTGGCGATGATCGTACTCTGCTACCATGGGTGGTTCTTTGACGAGCTGATGGCAACAACAAGCTGTAGTGGTAATATTTATAGACACGAGGCGTGCAAAGATATATGCAGCAGGATGTGCTGCGCTTCGGAAGGTTGGATGTTAAAGTTTCTAAGGCTGGCACATTCCCAGCTTCTGAATTGGTGCGGTGTGCTTCTGTCTGTATTCTGTACAGTATATGTAGATAGGCGGCGATGCCGCTCGCCGCTCGTGTTTCATCGAGCTGATTAGAACTGTTGGTTTTGGGCTATGAGAGCTTCTGACGATCCTGAAGATTCCCAATTAACTTGCTTTTTGTGTGTGGGTGGATGGGTGGAGAGTATATATCACCAAATCCGTATTCAAAAGTTTATATAGCAACCAGCAACTCGAATGGAATATTTTTGCCGCCATTCATCGGACAGACTTTCCCCTAGCTTGGTAGCCTCCGTTTGGGACTTTCCGCTGCACGGAGGATTTGATCGCATAGATTGGGCTCAGGATAGGTTGTGGGAAGTGGGATGGCCCCCAGCGCCCAGCCCGTGGGTTGAGGGGAACTAAACATAAACAGGCTAACGGCGGCCAACAGTGGGGCTATACCGCCAACAGGAGAAGCAATGCTTGATGCTGAAGATAGAAGCGCGAATAGGGTCGTTGGCCAGAATGTGCGCTGGCCAGAAGTTTAATCACCTTCCAGATCGTACTCGGCAATATATCCAGAGGAGAGATTTGAGGTGGCTTCGCGGGTCGATCATACATAACCACAGCTTGGACAGGGTCTGCAAACCGCTGGATTTTTTGTTTGCTTCAGGGGAATGCAAGAGTAAGGGTGCAAATGTGAAGAGCCTTGCACCATGATCAACTCTTAGAGATGGATTTGGTAAGGATTAGGGTTGGACTTGGGCTTGGGCTTGAAAATTGAGGAGGAATACACTTTGACGAGGAAAACAATGGTCATAGATCTAGTATTGGAACCATGTTGCAAGTTCCGCGATGTTCAGCCAGACTACACACATCGATACTGACGGTGAACATGTATGTGGATGAAAGGATGAAAGGCTGTGTGTAAAGATACACACAAGTGTAAGTTAGACGGAGTGTTGGCAAGCTTTGTCTGAGTAGATTAACTCCACCAGATCCGCCACTAAAAACAGGAGTTTGATATCAACACGAAGATCATCGAGATAGTAATTACCATGATATAGAACTGGTAGCAGATTCAAGGATATGCGAAACTCTGGTTGTTGGAAAAGCGCAGAGCTCTGACGCAATGGATGTACATGTACATACATACATACATATATGAATCTGAACATCAACCCTCCTACCATTTCATAGTGTTGAGCAAGGAATAGAACTGCAAGTAAAGAATTCAATTTCTATCTACTTGTACTGCACACATCAATACAAACCCCAGCCTGAGATGAAAGACAACACGTCAATTGCCTAGAGGGCTCTGGTCTATTTCTTCTGCAGGCAGTAGTAGTCTTTCACAGCCGTAGAGAGCCATGAACCAACTGCCTATTCTTTATGTAGCTTGTATATACACTTTTTTTGGGGGGGGAAAAAAAAATACAAGATATAAGATAATCTTCGCTGAAGGAATCAACAATGCTCGACTCGAAGCCACTGGCGTTTCTGCAAACACTACAAGATTCAAGTGATTTTGACTATCTTGACAGCTCGCTCCAACTCCAATCCGTCAAGAACCGCATGAGAAATTGTTATCGTTGACCTTTCCTGCTGCTTTGACAATGTTACATGGCCTCCATTTTAAGAACAAAAAAAAGAACGCAACGAAAAGAACGATGAACATCTGACCCTCGGTGAAGAGGCGACCCGGCATTCATATTCATTCCCACGTAGTATTCCGGCACGAAGTGGCGTGACATCCAGAGCTCGAAGACCCTGATTAACATTCAAGTATCACCTACTTTCCTTTTTAGCTACTCGGTTACGAGACGGCGAAAATTTCTTTCCGATGTTCTCCTGACACCTCGTAGGATGGAGAGAATCAAATCGGTCCCTAAGAGCGAGAATGGCGCAGGCGATAATACCATCGAGGCCTTGGGAGATGAAAAGCTGGTCGACATATTGGCTCACTCCAAGCCCAACTGGCTAGGCAGTGGGTATCTGCGCATGTATCTCGTTTGCGCCCTCATCTTTCTGACCTCAACGATGAACGGTAAGCACTGCGGATCAAAAAGTTTAATGCACAGTACCGCGCATGCACATGTATAGTGCGCACATGGCTTATTGAGCAAAGTGGGTTCCGGAGGAGCTAATTCAGCTGTTTGATATCCTTTGGGTGATAAATAGGACTTGACGGCAGCTTAATGGGCAGCATAAACACCCTCCCCAGCTACGTCAAGTACTATCACCTCCCCCCATCAGGCAATGCCGGCACAGGGCTTGTCTTCGCGATTTTCAATGTACGTAGGCCCCCTCCCACATGAGTTAAAAATCCAGCCGTTTTCTGAGACACAAACCACCAGGTTGGCCAAATAATAGGCGCTCTCTTTATATGGATAGCAGACTGGAAAGGCCGGCGGCTGCCCATTTTTCTCGGCTGTTTTGGAGTTTGCGCTGCGACAGTCATCACTGCCCTGGCTCCCACTCTGGGCGTGTTCATCGGCGGTCGGTTTCTATTGTCCTTCTTTGCCATCGTTGCGTGCACAGCTGCACCGCTATACGTTATCGAAATTGCGCCTCCCCAGTACCGTGCGACGGTTGCGGGCATGTATAATACATTCTACTACGTGGTTGGTAGCCTCAACCCCTTTTGGACCCTTTGTATTCCCAGACTCATATCAAAGTAAACCGTGCGGTATGACCCCTTATAGGGCTCCATAACTGCTACTTCCGCCGTTTATGCAAGCCATAAATACCTTGGGAACCAGGTGAACGCTGATTGGCGCACCCCTTTATGGGTTCAAATGCTTTGCCCGGGGATTGTATGTCTGGGAATTTGGTTCTGCCCTGAATCTCCAAGATGGTATGGGATATATCCACTCTTTATGACAGCACCAGCAGGCTAACCACAATGATTACCAGGCTGATCGGGAACGAGCGAGATGATGAAGCAAGGGCCATATTGGTCAAATACCACGCAAACGGTGACTCCAACCATCCGCTGGTTAAACTTGAAATGGCCGAAATGGTCGAATCTCTGAGAAAAGAAGGCATGTTGACTTGGCGGAACTTTTTTGATCTCCGGGTTCTCTTTAAGTCTCGTTCCCGTCGATATAGGATGATGCTCAATGTCTCCTTTTCGTGGTTTGGGCAATTCTCCGGTAACAAGTATGCTCCAATAATCCCAAGCGCGCCCCAGGGGAACGAAAAAAACCTTCTCCAGAAGATTGTCTTGGAATCTTTTTATTTTTGGCTGACACTTGAGACCTCATCCTCCAGCATTGCATCTTATTACCTACCTTACCTCCTTGAAAACGTTGGAGTAGCCGATACCAACACCAAGCTCCTCCTCAACATCATTTATGCCATCACAGGCTGGATCCCAGCAATGGCTGGGGCACGCTGCCACGATATAATCGGGCGGCGCAAGATGTTGCTAGGCTGTACCGTGGGCATGGCAGTCTGTCTTGCAATTGCTGCAGGTACGGCTGCCGGCTACATCAACACTGGAAGCAGATCGTCCTCATCCGCCTCGATCGCATTTATCTATTTATTTGGCTCGGTGTTTGCGTTCGCGTTCACCTCGATGCAACCAGTGTATCCCGGGGAGGTTATGTCAAATGATATGAGAGGCAAGGGCATGGGCGTTTCCCAGCTTACTTCTGGCCTAGCGGGCTTTGTCAACACCTTTGCGGCACCAGTTGCGTTAAAGAATGTAACCACTTCCCTCCATTTTTTTTTTTTTTTTTTGATATCTTCCACACATTCTCTACCCTCTAACTTCTCCCCTTCTCAAGCTAACAAACAATAAACACAATAGATCAGATATTGGTTCTATGTATTCTTCGTCTTTTGGGACCTGTTCGAGTTTGCGTTTATCTACTTCTTCTACGTGGAAACGAAGGGACGCACGCTGGAAGAACTTGATGAGGTGTTTGAAGCGCCTAATCCGCGCAAAGCTAGTACGACCCCTATAGCATTGCGGCGGCAACTTCCCGTTGGCCAAATTGACGAAGAAGAGCCGAAGCACGAGACTGTTGTTTAGGACTTGGTGGTGTTGCAACTAGGCTACTTGGATTTCCCCAAGGATATCCTGCGTTCATATGATGGATGATATTGTGCAGCCAGCATCAGCTTTGAAAGTCTAGTTTCTCGAGATCCCAGCTCCATGACTTAACAAATGTTAGTTCAACGGGGTATTGTGCACACTCCTGTGCTCTGGCAATCGTTGTTAACAGATCGCCGCTCCGTAACATTCAGCCTCTGCGTGCCGGTTAAAATTCTTGCTCCTCGTACACCAACACAGGAATAAATGAAGAGCGCAAAGAAAGAAAAATGTAGCGGAGGCGGACAAGTACGGGACCTTCTTTTGCCACACTATCTCACATGGTTCGCACCTAGCTCGCAAGTATTATTTACTATACTACTCCGTACAATAAATAAATCAAGCCGAGATCATTGATTCTTCTGTTCTGCAACAACCAGCCAGAAATGGAGAGTTACTTGCCTAACAATAACCAGTGGTTATTTTATATCCATTTTTCCTGCTAGCTACTGTATGGTTTCTCGATCCGCTCACCCTGTCAGTGGCTTCAAAATTTGGTTTCCACTAAGGGGAAAAGTATATTATTATAATCAGAATATTCCACTTTCCCACACGTTTGCTTCCCTTGATATCATGGTAGCATGTTCCCGAGCATCCCGAAAATCAAACTCCATGTCTTTTCGGCGGTACCTGTACCTCGAAAATCGCTACATTCAATTCCCAAAACGCCGTTAATAAAATCCCCCCACGCATACCGTCATTAATCATAATATGTAACACTAACCACGTTGAACAATTCCCTCTTCTCGCCCACAAAGATATTGCCGACCCCATCGACGTTTATATACCCAGGATCACTACCAGTGTTATCATCACCACTGCCACGCGAAGGATACGATATCGAGTAGCCCCTTTTCTCCCCATCCCTGTTCCCTGCAAAAAATAAAATATCCACCGGCGCCGCCCCCGCCCTCGAAGAAACCAGCCTTCCCCCCGACGCTAACCACAACCTTTTATCAAAACTTGACACCAAAAACGGACCAGACTGGTTTGTCGCGATGACTGCAATATCGGTACTGTTATTGTTATAGTAATAGATGACCCACCGCGCATTCTGGGGCCGGTATTTATTCTTTTTGTTTTCTGCGTTATTATTACTATTCGAGGGCTCTTGCGACGATGGCATTGTCGTTAGTAGTGACGGCTGTGTATTGTCATGATCGTTGATGTCTGATGTGGTGCTGTTGTGCGCTAGCAGACGACCGTCTTCATTTTCGAAAACAAGATAGCGGCCCTCGGTCAGTTGGCCAACGCATATCTTATACCCTTCTTCGACGATATTGGGGAGTGTGCTGGGTTGCGAGGAATATGGGGGAGGCGGTCGTGGGTCCGGGAACTGTGATTCGCAAAAGGCGGAACCGTCGAATTCGCCGCGGAAGTTGCGGTGGGGTTGTTTCGGTCTTGGTATGTCAGGTACGGAGAGGTCGGGCTATGTAGAAATATCACATGGCGGTTAAGCAAAGGGGACTGTATATATTGTATATAAAAAACATCTGTCATTTCCTGCAGGCGTATTTCGGTGACGTACATTTTCGAAGTCCAGTGCATTAAGGAGATGAGCCATGTTCTGCCTTCTCCAGTGAACCATTTCATCTGTCCTGACGTTATTGTAACCTTTGGCGGTGAGCCATTCTTCGATAAAAAGGATTTGCGAGTTGTGGTCAGCGTGTTCGGTAAAGACGCGTCCTCCGCGAGTCCAAGGGGAAACGATATAGAAAGGGACTCGAACTCCTGATATTGTTATTATTATCAGTTTCGGATTAGTAACAGGTTAGGTTACTCGCGACGGCGCATTAGTGAGTTGAAAGTATGTGAAAAGAGCACAAACCAGGGCCAGTGTAGATATTTCCAAAAAGGTGATACGGATCTTCCAGCCATTCACCGGTCGTGTTCTCCGGGGAATGGTAAGGAGGAACATGGTCCCCCCAACCACCAGATTCTATGAGCACGGTCAGCTTGATACATTTAATTGCCTTCGAACGGCGGAGGGGAAAGAACATGTACCATCGTAACTAATCAGAAGTGCACTTTTACCATACTTTGGCCCTCTTACCACAGCATCCAAAATTTTGTGCTGCAACCAGCCGCCATCAGAAGGAGAATATGGCGGATGTTCGGAAAGTTCTCGCGGGCCGACGATAAAGCTAACTCGTGGTAAGGTACCTAAAGCAGCATCGGCATAAAAGGCATCTAGTCCCAAATACGCCATTCCCTTCTTTGACAACGCCGAGGTTGCTGGTGCATTCTGGAACTGCTCGAACCAGGCCAACGGGTTGTCATCAAAGTTGTCCACTCCTTGGTATACCTGCCAAGAAACGCCCGCAGCTTCATATATGTCGAATATCGTTTTCCATTTGAGAGGGTAGCAGTTGAGATTGGGAGACTCGCATCCTAGTCGCTTAGTTTAGCTCAAACAATCCAATCACGGGGCAGAGTTTTGCCAAAACGACTCACCCGGGGTTTCGTTATTATCTATATATACGCCGCCTTCATCTGGCGTCTGCGGGCTGCCAGGTGCGTTGATACTTCCACTCACTAAGGTGACTCGATTCGGGTTTGTTGCAGTGATTTGCGATTCCTATCTCACTATGAGACTCCAATGCTGTTTTCTTAAGGATGGAGGGGAGCACATACTTGATACATATCGCCGACAGTCCAGCCTTCTGCAATGGCAAACTGGACGGGGAGGTCATGCCGGTTTAGATAACCCCAACTCCACGGTGTATTGTTCCTTGCCCAGCCATTATTGAGTCCACCGTTGATTGACGCGTGATTTTCTCTATATCCATTGCTTCCAGCACTCATGCACTGTATGGCTTGGGACCAGTTTCCGCCCAGATACCCTAAGTACCATGGAAGAAGGGTTTCTGTGACATTCGACATGCTCGAGTCAACTGGTCTAATAAAGGTAAGTATACAAGATTTCTCCATATACTGGTGGAGGGAGAATCACTGGTACCACACGGGGAGCCCATTCGGGTTGACCTGTACGTTGGGGTCATTAAAACCTCTTGCACCCGCCATTGTCCCGAAATACTTGCGAGCCAGTTAGTATTCGCACGATGGATATCAGTGAATGTTGATTAGAGCATACTGTATCCCATGACCGATTTTCTTGCATAAAGATGATGACATGGTCGATGTCCTTCAAACTTCGGGCCGCTTCACGTCGGTCAATAAATAGAATCAAAAAGATTGCCGTTAATAAGAGAGCTAGCTATAGATATGGTAAAAACCCATAGTCAGCAATCGGAATATCAAATGTCGGACAAGAAACTATACATACTGCAGTAACAGCTAATCCTATTTTCACAAAACGAGCAGCCATCTCCCGAAGCAGTGTGCTATCGAGTGTTGAAGGGAGAGCATGGATTCGAAGGAAATAAAAAGATAGAAATAACTATAAAGAAAGTCTGGAGAATAGCACAAATCTAAATTCACCATCATCTTCAAAAGAAGGAAGACCTTGTATATCGGCCTCGACGAGCCACTCATCAACCGTAATCATTTGCACCGGGGGCAAGCATACTGAAGAACCTGGGTACAAGGTCCATTCTGAAACACTTTCCAAGAAGCTAGGAAGCTCTGTATCCCAGACGGGATGCTTGCTCTGGTGGCGGTGCAGGAAAGCCAATTCCTCAGAAAAGAGTTAAAAGGGCAGCTAATAACCACCAAACTCTCTCAAACAAAGTGATTCATCATCTGCGTGTGTTCGTGGTGCGTGTGTTCGTGCATGCTGTGTTTTAACCCTGGCTCTTGCGCTCCATCTCCATCGGCTTTAACACAGGACGCGCATGGAACGAACATCCAGTCGGAGGAGGATACGCAAACCTCGCGATGAACTCCAAGATCCTCCAAGAGCTTCGTCAGAGCTATCTCGAGTGGATACGACGAGTGACAGAACGACCTTGTCAAGGAGCTGCTTGGCATCTGTCATCATCTTCCTAATTTTGCTGGTAAGTTTCTTGGGTGTCCCAAAGTCTCCGAACATTGCGCACGAAAACCAGGCTGTGGAGCAGTCGCTTCACTCCGATATTGGTCAGAAACTGCATCCCGAAACACATATTTATCGGCCGGTGACGACAATCCGCCTTAACTGGACGGTAACTGCAGCTTATCTCCGTCCAGATGGTGTGCTGAAACGCATCTATGTGATCAATGGTGTGTCTGCTGTGCTATCCTTGCTCGGATCTGGGACCATGCCACTGGCGCGGGTGTTCGATTGATTGACATCCAGCCATTTTTTGACTAGGTCACTTTCCCGGCCCTGTCATCGAGGCGCGATCTGGAAACGGTCTGATCGTTGATGTAAGAAATGGCTTAGAGGACGAGGGTA